TCCCGAGGAAAAACCAGGTTCATTGCGACCGGTGGCTCGTATCCACGATTTATCCAGTCGCGGATTGCCTCCGCGAGAAGATCGGGGGCCGATCTAATTTCGCACGACTCCGACGAGAAAGCTCAGAGAGGGGGGGAGGGGGGGCTTCCATCTCCAGCTGATGGCTCGATCTCGTATCTGGTCAATCTCTATCCTTCTCTTTTAGATCCGAGAGTGCGAGTTCCGTCCGGCAGATTTTTCAACCGTTGAGTGTGAAAAACGCGAAAGGAGAAATCTAGAAATTTTTCTTCGAATATTTTTTTCAACAACGATGGCGTTTTTTTCCCGATTTTACTTGTTTTAAGAATCGCGCTAAATTCGATCATATCAATCTGATTCTTTTTTTTTTTTTTTCAATTTATCATTTGTTTGATAATTTAAATGTAAATAATTACAACAATATTTTTGGATCATATCGATCTAATTTTTTCAATTTATCATTTACTTGACATTTTAATTGTAAATAATTACAACGATATTTTTGAACTTAAAGATGTGTTGCACCGATGAGAATACGTTTGTATCTCTCTTTGACGAGAGAGAACACATTATCTTACGCATCGCTTTGCTCGATTTAAATTCAACGCGGCGCATTTCGTCTATGAGAAGAGGGTTTCCCTCTTTCCGTTTTAACTTTCAACTCACCTTCTTGCGGCTCTTAACTATGGCATTCGGATAAAAACGAGCGAGGCATAAAAATGGCTATAAAATGATATTTGATACGGGTCCGTGGAATTCTGCCTTCGCTTTCCCTCTGCCTTTGTTCTCGCGAAATATTTCCCTCGCAATTACACTCGCATAAAACGCAATGATTATTATCTCGTGATAAAGCAAACGTGTTTCCCCGACGTGTCATCCTTGCAAACATTATTTTGCAATGTGACCGAGCGATGCGGCGGCGTCCCTTCCCTTCGCAAAATATCATTTATTTTGTTTACGGGAGCGATTCGCGTAAAAATCCGCATATTTTGCGGCAGAGGAAGAGCGAGCGAGAGAGAGAGAGAGAGAGAGAAAAGATAGAACACATCGTTTCACAACCAGACATTGCAATCTCTCTGTGAGAATAACCCCATAATTTCTATCGTTACATACCACGAGTATATTATATGCGTTTTCTCTCCATATATCGCATTTTCTATTCATATATATTTTTAATTCATATATATTTTTATATATATAAATAAATTAATATAAATAAATATATATTATAAAATATATATATATTTTTTAAGAAAACGCACGATTGAACATAATCGGCAAAAATATCCAATCGCTAATGTGCATTCCAGCTTTCTAATGATTCACCCGCGCGTTTGAGAATTCCGAATGACCGTCGATAATTGTAGTAATTATAATTAGAACGTACCTCCATATACTAGCGAAACACATAACGCCGTTTGCAATACGGGACGGATACCGAGTGGATCGGTAAAATCCATTTGGCGTAATCCGTCATGTCTGCATTTATCCGTCATTAATTCAGTTGCGATTTTAATTGACAGAACAGCTACTCCGCTCGCTCGCTCCCTCACTCGCTCGCTCGCTCGCTCTCGGTTTGCATATTGTTTATATTATCGATTCTGCACAACATCCGTTGACCATCGACCACGTGATAAGCGCGGCTTACCCGTGTCTATGTGAATGATGCAATGATAACTATGCTTGTCTGTATCGATAAGCCGAGGAATGCATATCGTTAAAGCAAAACTGAAATTTCGGAAACTCCACCAGATAGCATCGAACACTCAAAAAAATGTCTTGCTGATATAGGTAGATTTCTAGGTGTCACAACAAAAATTTATCGCTATTTTTTGTATCTGTTAGAATATTGTCTGTTACATATAGAATTTATAGCAGCAATATTCTAATAATATCTTCTAGAAAATTTAGGTCCCATTGCCAAATGTTAATCACTGCATTGGATAAATATGAGTTTCGATACTACAGCTAGAACGATCTTTGTGAGAAATATAACTGCCAATTATAACTGCAGCATCGAAAAATTGAGAGAAATTGTTTAAAAGAGCTAGATAGATTGGGCGCGTTATACAAATATGTTAGACGTGAGGATTATATATTCATTTGTTTCTTGCCGCTAATTTTTTCTGTGTACCACAGCCAAACTTTATAACAAGTATGATTGGCCTTAACATGGATAGGCGCCACAGAAAAACATTCTTTCTAAATTTCACAAACAGTTCAGATATAAATTCTGTCTCTGTCACTTAGATTGATTAAATGCGAAACATATGCGATATCACAGTATTTGCTAATCATTTATGTACCTCAGTTAATTTTGCGCACCCAGAAAATTTTTGCTGTAGTTGCAATACCACTTTTTTGAGTGAATTATAACGTGATCATGCAGAAACAATATATGAAAAATGCAAAGCTTTTTTTCAAGCTTTAAAGAATCTTTCAGAGATTTTACAATATCTAATATCTATCATTTTATTTAATCATTCTTTTTAATCAAAAATTTCTCCTCTTAAATAATATTTAAAGCCTTAATAATATTTAAAACCTTATGCTATCCTTCGATAATACCCAATTAAAATTTATTATTCTTCTGTTATATTCTTCTGTTGTTTAAATTTTTGAAGATTTTTATTAAAAGATCGTGTTGTAAAGTTAATATGAAAAGACTCCGAAAATGTTAAAAAGAAATTCCTTCTGTGTAAACTTTGCTAAATTATTTAGAAAAGATAACAAACTTTCTTCTTTTTCATTATTTTTTTATAGCTATTAGCAGATATTATTAATCCCGCTGATTTTTATCGAAAGTAGAGAAAATTACCCTCGTTGTTATTTGGCCGTGGGGAATTTTATGATATTTTCCTCTGGTGTATAATGGTGGTTTAACCCGCAACAGTACCTCGCACGCGCATCACGTACGGGGTGTTGCAAATATTTAGTACGTGATAGCTAATCAGCTGATTCGTATCTTTTTCCGATTCGAGATACAACATGAAGACGAGTTAAGGATGTTTTGGCTGTATAATAGTAACAAAAAACTGTCAAAATTAAAACAAAAACATATTTCTTACGTTTATATTGTTTAAAAAAACAAATAAATAAATTTGGATTATAAAAAAAATTAAAGTATCACAAAATAATATGGTTTTTAACGTCTTCGTAAAAGAAAATAGTTGTAATTAATATTTTTCTTAATTTATGAGAAATGTTTCACCGAAAGAAATGACGCAATTATAAGATTCGATAAATTTCTTTTCCTCTTTACCGTGGGAATTCTCGTGATAAAGATGCAACATTCCTCGTGTAACAAATGTCAATGTCGAATAATTCTCATGCTTACGATCGTTTGTCATTCTTGAAAATTCGAGTAGCAAGTAGTTTGTTAACACATGAGAGATTAATGTACGTATCAACAGTGACATCGAGTCTTACGATCTTTGTAAATTCATCTCGCGCGATTTTCGAAAGTCTCAAATCTCTTCTTATCAGGCCCAGTATATCAAAACAAGCAAAACTTAAAAAAAAAAAAAAAAATCGCGATTAAATCTTCCATCGCTAATTTTAAGTAACTCTCCTTTCGCATAAAGTTAATGGACGCTTAAACATTTAAATCTCACTCGCGACGCTTAATCTCCGCCCGGTATCGGTCGAGCAGCCCGACCTCAAAAGCGCCGCATTAAATGTTTATTGTTCATCTACTCAAAGTAACGCTCATGTAGCCGTACGGCTGGTTTCACGAGGTTAACCCTAGCGGCGGTTACCGCAGAGAGAGGATAGACTAAAACCGGAGTCTAGTTTCGTTCACCGTCGACGTCCCGGTAAGTGCCCATCCCTTCTGAATATTTTAGGAAGTATACGCGCGCGTATACCCTCTCTTTGCCCCTTCCTCTCCCTCCCGCTCCCCTTCCCTCTCCCCGCTATATTATATCGGGGCTCGAAGCTGTCGGTGGACCCGGACGGGCGTACGCCCGGGCTCATACATATCCGCGATTAAATTCATCGAATGTATGCGGAAAACTCGCTTTTTCGCGAGCGCGCGAAAATTATAGATAACAGCCGGAAGCGGCCGCCGTGAAAACGAAAGAGCGCGTATCGTAAATCCCGTATGGAAAAAAAAAAAAAAAAAAATCGCGGTCTGTTCGTGAAATTTGACGAGATGCACAATCGCAAAATCGGTTTCGAAAATTAGCGGACTTCTTTCAAGAGAAGCGGCGTCGTTTATAACTTCATTGTTAGCTTAAGAAAACGCGCAGGTATTATTTTAGAATCGAATTTCTCGAACAGGGTGTCTCTACTCAAATCTTGTAAATAAAAATTCCCTGAAAATTCTCTGATCTCTTCCAAGTATTTCCATTCAAAATTCCAGGTAAAGAGAATATTTTAGATTTTTTTGATCAATTTTCTAAAATAAGTTTTTTTATTGTATGCGTTTTCTAAAGTTTTTCACTCATACGAAGAAAAAACACAGAGCTGTTTAAGTCTTAAATATCAGATTTGCAAATGTACTGAAAAAAAAAAACTAAACAGCTTTCGTAAGATAAATATTTTTCACTTGCACAACATTCTCATTTTTTTATAACTAAAACTCACAATAAAAAAATATTTATTGCATATTTAATATTTTGTTAAAACATTTAATATATAAACAGAGAGATAGATATATATTCATAATATATTTTAAACATATAATTTACAACTTGGTTTTTTACCTATACGAGCAAAATTATCAAAAAGAGAATTAAAAAAAAAAAAATTTCCCGATCCCCAATCAAATTTCAAGAGAATTCCTTGATTTTTCCAGATATAAAAGAAATTCCTGAGAATATTCCAAGTTTCCCATATTTTTTCAGGTAGTAGACACCCTGTTGAAGCATTTTTTAAACAATTTTGTAGCCATGATTTCAACGTTTCCTTTATTATTACTATGCACAGACGGGCTGTTTTCGCACTCAAAATCGAGGTTTCATTGAGATGCGAATACTTACATCGATTTATCCGGCAAGTCGTACTCGGCGGCCAGTCGCAGATCATCCAACGCGAAATGGTGTTCCTTGAGAGCCATAAAGATCTCGGCTCTCCCCAAGAGCGCCAGGGGCAATGACATGCCCTGATCGACCGTCTTGCTCTTATCTGAAACATATGTCGTCGATATCGTGTTATTTGGGAAAATATTGCTATCCAGCCTCGAGCTCTCTCTCTCTCTCTCTCTCTCTCTTTCGCTTTCTCTCGCTTTCTCTCTCTCTCCCTTTCTCTCTCTCTCTGTACATCGATTACCGTCGAACGAACAATTTATCGACACAAAGCCAATGAAGCCATGAAAATGCGGAAGTCTTTCGATCGATTGATGCATGTTGGCAGGATGCGAGAACAGAAGCAGAACTTGAGCGAACTATTTATTCTAGTTGTGCATCTGGCGCGGTGCCTACGATCGACTCGCCAACATGTATTTTAGAAATCTGTGTAATTTATAGAAATTTTAATTTTAGAAAAGATTAAGCACGTAAATATACCGGTAAATATTGTTGCTAATAAATATCGTTGCTTTAATATATTTAAATTAATTAATAATTAGCAATTAAATTAAGCAATTAACAATTAAATCAAGTATAAATATATATAGTATTTATATATCACATATTATACTATAATAAATAATAATTATATGTACATGATAATTAAATGCATTGCGTTCTAATTAGCGAAATAATACAATTGTATTATTTCATACAAAACTATGTATAGATTCGCTAATCGTTCGCTAATGATTCGTCCGAATAATTACTTTTAATCCACACAGTAAGACGCCAATTATTCCGAGTAATAAAATATGTTATTCGCACAAAACTATTGAAGAAAAAAAAATGTAAACGAAGTATCGAACAATATAATAAAAATAATATACAGGGTGTTTTAGATCAAGTCAATGAAACTTCAGGGTTTTATAGGAAATTGAATTTGGAACCAAAAAGTTTCGATAAACATAGGTATATAAACATAGGTAATAAACTCTCTGTAAGTAATTAATTATGATCAAAATTTAATAAGAACATTTTTACGTTTGCATTTGCAATGTTTACACTATAGTGTTTACGCAAAGACCATCGAAAGGTGGTTTTTTCAAGTTTTCAGCCTTTTTCGTTGTTTTGAGCTTATTTTCTTTTGAACATCTTATCAGAATTAAATGAAATTGGTGTAATTTAGTTTGTTATTTAATTACCCATCACATTTATTTCGTTACTTTTTTCAAATGATTGAAGGGGTTTGAAGTTATTTATAAAAATCCTCAAAAAAAAAAACGTGATTTTTCGAAGTTTATTAGCTATAACTTTTTAACGAAGCGTTTCTGGACCTATGTTTATCGAAACTTTTTTGTTCCAAATTCAATTTCCCGAAGTTTCATTGACTTAGAGCACTCTGTGTATATATAATTTGAATTTAAAAAAATGACAAATTCTGATGTTTACACATTCGGATATCGATCATCGGAGACAATCGCTACTCGGATAATTGGCGTTCCACTGGCATTTGTGAGCGACCTAGTTGAGGTGCACGCAGGACGGCCTGACTGAACAGCAAAAGAGCCTTGTCGTATTGGCCGATGGCTGCGAGCTGGTATCCCTCGAGTCGTCTGCGTTTAGAAATGTCGGCGTCCTTGTCCCTGTAAAGGGGCTTCACCCTCGAGAGCGTGTCGACCACGACGTCCCGTATCTTCGCATCCGCAAAGATCGCCTTCACCCGACCCGCGTCGTCGTCGATTCGGCCGAATATCTCGGATGTCCAGGTCGCGCCCGCGGTCCGCATCACGGACTCGCTGAAATCGTGGAAGAAGCCCCTCTTGCTGGAGCGCAGGGTCTCCGACGAGCAGAGAGTTCTGTAAAATTCATCGCGATCCTGCATTCCGGGGCGTTCGAGAAGACGCTCGCGCGTTTCCACCCCCGACGACGCAGCCGCCACCCCTTTGTGCTACGCCTGCCTCCTCTTCCTCCTTCGCTTCTCCTCGAGCTCCGTTAACAAGACCCTCTGTGTATGTATGCGAGCGAATCGCCTTTGGGCGACACTGAAATACGTTCCGTCCGTTTTTATATCGCGGATTAGTATACCCTCTTGTTACGATTGCACTGCTCGGTGACACTTTCTCTTCTCTCTCTCTTTTTCTCCCTTTTGTGTATTTCGCTTTATTTAAGCGCAGAGTTATTTCCCGTTATTATTGCCTTCTTTAATCTGTCCTCTTGCATTTATACACGTCTTGAAAGGAAAACTTATCTTCCAAAGATTCTTATGTTAATTTTTATCTCTCGCAATTATTACGCTCTTACTCAGTAGATATTCACTCACAGTCTTCTTAATATTCTTAGCTAATTATATTTTGATTGAACCTTCTCTCGCATATTTTTACTTGCGTAAGAGAGTCACTCACAGTCTTCTTAATATTCTTAGCTAATTATATTTTGATTAAACCTTCTCTCGCATATTTTTACTTGCGTAAGAAAGAGAGAGAGAGAGAGAGAGAGATCCTCCTGGAATACACTATTTCTCCCAATTTCCGTATATACGCTACAAGTGTACCGACGACTAGAAGTCTGCCTCGTTACTCCCAAGGTTGCATCGTCGTAGCGCGTTCCCTTCGACCGGTCCTTTTGAATATTACAGGAGCTAGTGTTTCGGTATTTTGTATCCGTCGAACACGCGACCTCGTTTCGCGAAACTCCCCGGGATTAAGAAGAGAACGGGGTCCTCGCGACGCAAATTTACCGGGCGCACCGAGACCGGAATATCAAGGAGCCGCGTGAAAATATTTCGTCGTCGGGGAAAATTTCGTTAAAAATCCGCGTAGCAATTTTCGCACACTTTTCCACTTTTTTTCCCCATACGTATAGTCCGGCCAGAAGCGCGAGAGTCCGAAGAAGATGTTCCGCCAGTACTGAATCATAAAAAGCAGTGGTCCGGATCCCTGTTCTCTCGTTTCGAGAATTAAACGACTCTGTTGGCCCGTGAGAAATGGCCACTCGGGGATCCTCTATCAGAGGCGAGACCCGAATTTAAAAAGCCTCTCCCGTCAGACGAGTCTTTCTTTCGCTAGTTAAAACACCATATATGAATATATTATACGCTCTTTTCAACTCCTCTGCCTATATTGTTATTTTTTTTTTCACATTCACTCTCACCTCACGAAATACATTTATATCGGCTTCAATTCCTGCTTTAAATATCCTCTAGTCGTTTAAATAATCGTTTATCCGTTTACCGTAATCGTTTGAATAATCACTTGACAATCTATTTTCGCCTTTTATGTAAACTTTTCACTACTCCCTTTCCGAGTCGGCGAATTCTCCCCGTCGATTCGCAGTTTCGAAGCACTATCGGCCGAGAGACACCCAAGTGCATACAAAATGACTGAAACGGATTACCGGGGGTCTCCCCTCGACGAGTAAAACTTTAAAGATCCTCCACCGCTCTCATTCACCGCGAAAACCGCAGTACCCGGGGATCCTTCACGCCTCTCTTGCGCCGGCTCGATGCTTTATGAGGGGGTTTACTTTATAGACACGAACGGAGTATTAGAACGAAAGACCGGTATTAGACTCAAGGCGCCGCCAGAATGCGGACGAATGGGAGGGGCGAATATATATGGAGAGAGGGACGAGGACAGAATGCGCTTAAGAAGGGAAGCTTCTCTCTCTCTCTCTCTCTCTCCCTCCTTCTCTAGAAGCTAGAGAAATAATTTTAGACATGATCTATTTCGGTCCTAAACGAGGCACTCTCTCTCCCTCTCTTTCCTCATTGCAGAGTCCTCTGGCATCGTCCATTCGCAAGCGTCGAGTAATCGCAAACGCCGCGAAAATCTCACGCCGATAACGGCATTCTCGATCCCACTTTGTCCGACCCCTCCTCGTCTTCTCATCCTTTTTTTTTCGCCGAGACGTTCCTCGTGGTCTTACCTTGTCTCTCGAGTCGACGCGGAAATCCTACCCCCCCGATATTGGCGCCCGTCACTGCCGTTCTACCACGTAGAGCCCCATTATAGTCGAAAAAATTTATCGTCTAACGTCCTTGATCCCCTCTACCTTTCTCCTCTTTTTCCCTCCCTCCCTCCCCCGTCAACCCCGATACCACTCTCTCTCTCTCTTTACTTCCTTCTCGCTCGAAAGGGAAAATACCTGGATTCGAGTAACTCGTAAATCGACCTAGCCGGTGTAATAAAGTCGTACGGTGATGTTCCCTTTCGCGAGAGAGAGAGAGAGAGAGAGGGAGAGAGAGAGAGACTTCCGCCTACGGAGTGTTTCCGCACCTTGCGACTTTTTGCCATAGTATATCAGGCAAAATCTTCCAGTCTCGTGTGCGCGAGACCACGTTTTTACGTGTGGTTTTCCCTCGACCGCTTAATGGAGAGGCAGAAAATCCGACTCTTAGTCTCGGCGACAAATTGTAATTCTTCGAACCGCGTCGACTAATGTGATTTTGATTACGCGAATCGCTGTTATTTCATTCGCGTTTTATTTTAATTGTAATTTCATATCGTTGAAATAAAAAATTAAAATACAAAATTTATAAAAAATATTTATAATAAAATAATATTATAATATTTCAGGCGTGTTTATTTTTAATTGTGATTTTATATAATTAAAATTAAAAATTAAAAAACACAAAATTTATAATAAATATAATAAAATGATATTATAATGTGTTAAATGTTGAAATAATATAATGCTAAATTGAAATGATATTATATAATGCTAATTGAAACACATTCTGTGCAATAAATCAAAATACCTATTTTTATAAAATTTTTTCCTTGCATACATGCAGTGTTGGGCATCAATCAATTAAATCTTTAATCGATTAATCAATTGAATATTTAATTGTACCATTTCAATTGCGATTAAATTTAATTGCAACTAACCTTTTAATTGCAGGTTGCAATTAAATTTAATTGCGATTAACCTTTTAATTGCAGATGGCAATTAAAGTGAGTTGCAATTGAACTGTGTTTCCATTACTATTTCAATTACTCTCTTTCCTCGTTTGCCATCTTATACTATAAAAAAAAAAAAAAAAACAAAAAACATTCTCTAAAATAAATAAAACATTAAATCACGATAAAAATCAATTGTTAATTGTACTGACAATTAAAATTAATAAATAATTAAATAATTAGTTTTAATTGTAAGAACAATTAATAATTAATTAATTGTAATCATGCAAAACAAAAACATATTCACAAACTAACTAATTTAATTGTCAATTGCAATTAACAGTTAAAATTTTAATTGTCAATTGTTAATTGTTAGTATGATTCAATTGCATCCAACACTGCATACATGTACCAAGATAAAATGGATTCTCTTGATAAAAAAATTCACAATTAGACAACAGTCCTGATAATTATTGTAATTTCATTCTCTTCGCAATTTCTTATGATGCAAACGATATTTTAGACACCTTTTAAAACCAAGTTTGCCAAGATACATCCATCCGGCCATCTGGCCCGAGAGAATTTTCGCGAAACTCCGGCCCTTTTCCCATCCTCGAAGATATATAAAGTATCGATGCCGTTGCTCCGATGAAATATCGACACTTGACTCCTTGGAGTAAATGGAACCTTTCGCGCGCGCGGTAACGTCATATATAAAATTCCCGAAGGATCAGGCAGCAGGACCGCCGGCAGTTGTATCGATTTAACGTCCGACCACGTATGCACCGTTAGTCGTCATATGCGTGTCAGCTTCTCCCTCGCCTTATCTATTCGCAATCCCGCTCATATTCTTCTTCGAAACCGTATGAATTTTTCAGTATTGTCATCGTCGCGCGAGATTCACCTTCCCCCTCTTCCCCTCCCTCCCGTCTCCTGTTACGAGAGCGCCGGAAAAGATTTCGCCAGAAGGACAGGCGCCAAATATTGGCGCATTCGCATTAAATTATTATATACACAAGACTTTCCGCTCTTCTTTCGCCCATTCGTTATTCCGGTAATGGCAGATTGTTCGAGGGCAATTTATATTCCATTATATATAAAGAAATGACCTCGTTTTTCGTTCAATCTTTTTTTGCTGAAAACCGCCCATCATGCGGTAAACAAATAATGATATCGCGTGCAACGAAAGGCAATGCCGGGGGTGCATTCGCGTCTACGTAAAGGTATACTTATTGAGTTAAGGATATTTCTCCTCGTAATTTGCGACTACGAAAAACGTAACGAAAGTTCCTTTCCACCGAGTGGGGTTTCAGTTCAACTTTGATAGGGACATTAAATTCCGTGAGTGATCCTTTCTCTTTTTTTTTTTTTTTTTTTTTTGGGAACCGATTCACACTACGGTCGTTTCTCATGCGTAGTTTTTTTTTCCCTTTTCGACGAGAACGTTCGCTGACAACGTATCTGCGCGATAATCGGACCGATTTATGAACCAAGATGGGAAGCGGAGCAAAATGTTGGCAGCTTTATCGGTCCCGGAATTCTCTCTCGCTCTTTGCACGGGGAAAGCAACGATTTGGTAGATTCATCCATTCGCTTTCAGTGTCGCTAATAATTAATAAATTCGTTAGCTTGTGCGCCACGCGTTTAATACGAGACGCGCGGCCATGTCGTTATCGCGCGTTAAATGGGATATTCGCGCCAAAGCATCGCTTAATTCGCAGTTAAGTTCCCCCGCCGTTTAATTTCGTATAGACGTTAAATGACATTCTTTTCTTCTGTCGGGGGGAGGTAAGCCATTTCGCGTGTTAGGGCAGAAAGACGCGGCTGATTCGCGTAATTCGAGCAAATTGCGCAATAATGCCGGCGGAATATTCGCCGAGAAATCTTAATGGTATTTTTATCGACTTTCCCCTCCACGACAGCGGTGATCTTCGTGCGCGGTTGTCTTACAAAAAAAAAAAAAAAAAAAAACGCCGAGAAGAAAAAAGCCCTCTTCATCTTAGACGCGGAATACATTTTTTTTTTTTTTTTTTACGAACCGTACGCTGATTTTTATATTAGTTATTCAAATTAATTTTCCCCGCGTGCGTGTCCTCGTCTCTCTTAACCGTTAGCTATAAAGGCACGAAATTACCATCGCACCCTGTTCGACGAAATACCTCACTCACTTTGCCTCTGAACGTCCAGCATCGCTGACTACGTGTCATTAAATGCAAATTTCGCGCGGCCAGTAGGGCAACTGGAGACCAAAGTTTAAACCGTATTTAGTGAGGCGTTCTTGCCGATTAGAGGAGCGGGACAGATGTATTTCCGGAACATATGATTACCGCGGTTGTGAACAGCCGGGATTTGTCGCGGACTCTCGGTGTTTACACAAATGTTTGCACGTTTCAGTGATTCCTATAAAAAAATGGGATAAAATATCCTGCATGTATTTCGCCAACGTGTGTTCGACGAGAATATTGAGTGAAACAAAATG